TCAAAATACATTTGGAAGAATATGATTCCCTTAGGAAACAATACAGGAACTTTTTGAGTTTGTCTTATGTAAGTCACTATAATACCCATTAAATGATATATAAGGTAAAATCATACCAAAGTTTTTAAGAGACGCTAGCATGTGCAAATTCACATAGGTTTAATGCAGACCTTCTGGTTCTTTTGAAAGTTACAAAGCTGTAATTGAAATAAAAAACTTTTTGGAGTTGTTCTGAGTTCGAGTATTGTGTGGTTACATCAGGATGTAAAAAAATAAAGCAAGTCGATCCTATTATTTCAATTCTAGTAATGATCAAAACTGAGTGCTTGGTTAAAGATTTAAATAGTTACTGCCAGCTATTTAAACTCTGTAATTTTTTTTTTTTTACCTTAGTATAGATAGGCATAAAAATTAGTTAGAAATTGCTATTCTGAATTTCTGGCAAATACTGTACAGTATTGAATCAGTAGGATGATAGCATTTCTAAAGATCAGGTCTGGGGAAGCAGGTTGTGTGGTTTTTTTTTTTAAATAGCGGAAAGAAAAAAGACATTTGGAAAAGGGCATTCTTTTTCCAGACATAATGAGTGTGAGAGATGATGGATCTCGAGCTGTCTTCCAAGTGCCATTCAGCTGCATGTCATTTCAGTAGGGAAACCTGTTTAATTAGCTTTTTATGGAACTTTGTCTTGGGCTTTTTAGGAATGATTGCAAATCCATATTGTAGATAGAGTGTATGTTGATTCAGTTTTCCTTCTAGTAAATTGCACAGCCACAGTCCATGCTTTTCTAGCCTCAGGAGGTCTCTCTTAGGAGCATGCCTTAGTAGTAGTACACTGGTGGCTGTGAGATCTCTGTTAGCAGATGTTCTGCAACAAGTATTTTGTGCCTGTTGATTTTTGACCACTGATGTTCACCACTGCAGGGGTAGAAGAGGACTAAAGGCTGGATCCAGGATCCTTGGAGCAGGACACCAGTCTGACAGGTGCTGCAATGTTTTAGGCCCAACTTAATCTTCTTGCTGTGGACTGTAGACTCCTCTATTGTCTGTAGACTGTGGTGTGGGACCGCAGGCTTCCCAAGCTGTTTTTTCAGGTCCTCTCCCTCACCACAAAACTCATTTTGCACACAGTTCCACCTAAACTCCGATCAAGTGCTGTTATATACTCGTCTGACAACAGCATGATGTTTAGAGTTTTACAGAATGTATAACAACTTAAATCTAAGATGGATACAAAAACCCCAGTATGATTTCCTATTGAACAGAAGTAAAACGGTAATAACAATGTGATGTAAATTTCAATTACCAGTTCACTGTGGCAGCTGGCTAATGATACAAAAGGCATTGCAGGGATGAAATGTGGAAGTTCGTGAGGTGGTTAATGCAAAGAAGTCCAAATTCAGCAGAAGCTCTTCCCTGTTTACGCAGTTGTAGACAAACCCCTCAGTTCACACAGTTGTGTAGAAGCTGAAGTCTGAAAAGCTTAGAAGTCTGAAAACATACTCAGATTGCCATAAGAATAACTATGATAGTTTCAAGACTTTATTTCAGAGCAAGTGATGTTTTTATTGTCTGAAAGAATCCTCTTACAAAGCACTACCCAGCTGTTGTGCTGGCCAAGCTCGATGGCAATGGCACAGTTAGTGAGGAGTGAGTGCCCTCTAACCCAGTTCAGCAGCTGGTTTGTAACGCTGTGTGGAGCAGTGGCAGTACTTAACCGAGAGTGCTGCTTTGAAATGGAAATAGCCTTTCAATTTTAAATATATTTTATCGTGCTACATGTAGAACTTTGCATTTGATATTACCACTATGCTATTGTAGTGAGCTACTGATCTCAAGAGAGCAGCTGAAGAATTTTTCTGGAAAGGGAAGAAACGGAAATTATGACGTTGCATACTGTACTCTGTGTGGCCCATTACTACCAGTGGAAGGGAATGGGTGCAAGTATGGGGCATGTTATTACTTAAGGGTTTCCTGACCTTAAAGTACTGGTCCTTGGAACGGTCTGCCAAGTAGAAATTAGCTTTGGGTTGACTACTCTTCAGAAATTTTGTGAATGCTAGTATTCATTGGTTAAAAGTGACTAAATGTGCATGAGTTTTGTTGGAAAGGCCTCCTCAGTTGCTGTTGTTAGTGCATGAATGATGTATAGTGTGATTTTTTTATTTTTGAGTTCAACAGTGTAATTTTTCTATGTTTTTAACTTTCTTCCACTAGATGGCCCAAGCATGCTTTCAAGTGCCCTACAGGAACTGAAACTTTTACTTCATTTCTAAAATAAATTCGTATCGTTTTAACTGAAATTAAAATTCTGCATCATGAAACATATGTGAACTTCTGTGATGCTTTGTGCTTGTTTAAAACACAAACACTTTGTACCACCCAAAGGGATGGTGGTTAATGTAGGTAATGGGTGGTATGGAAGGTTACGCCATGTATGATCTCTTATAGGTCAGTCTTTTTCCTCGATTAGAGCATTTCTTAGTGTAGTACAATGCTGTTCAGTTTTACACTGAGATGAAAACTGAGGTACTATCACGCTGGCAGCTTATTCAACAGTGGTGGTTCAGAGAAGCTCTGAAAAGATGTCAGCCTCAGGCTGAAGTTTGTCCCTAACATCTCCTGGGGGTGAGACTGGTATTTTGCAGGCCACCATAATTGTGGTGTTTTGGTTTTTGTTTGTTTTTTTTTTTTTTTTTCTTTTTTTTTCTGCATAAGGTTTTGGTGACAACTTTGCAGATTATTTCACCAGTATAGGTGTGGTCAGCAGGTCCTGAATAGTTATAGTTGTTAAATGTACGAACTCTAATATAATTCACCTATTTTTGTTGTCTAACAGACATCAAGTATAAGCCGTTATCAAGGCTGTCTCTTTGGTTAGTGGAGAAAGAGGTATACACAGAAGGCAGCTCTTACTGTGAGCGTGGTCGGCCACTGGAACGAGGCTGAAGAAGTGGTGGGATGTTAATTCACAGAGATATTCAGAACTCAACAGGACTGAGCCCTGCACAGCCTGAGCCTGTTGGGCTGGCTCTGACTGGGAGGCTGAACTAGGTGACCTTGAGAGATCCCCTCCAGCCTCCATTATTCTCTAATTCCAAAAGAGTTTAAAACAAAAATAAAAGCAAGGCAAACTAATTGTTGTCTTTCCAAATTAGTTTCTAACTTCAGTATTTTGTGTTAAATTCCAGCTTTCTTTTTGCTTCCGAGGACCTTAATGTGGTAGTATTAGACCACCAGAAAAAGTATTTGTGCTTTTTTCCTTCCTTCTGCCAAAAAAAAAGGGTGCCATAAAAAGGGAGTGCTATATTCCTTCATTTCGCTGCTGCACTTGCCAGGTGACATCTCTGTCCTATTATTGTGTTCTATTGTTACTCCTAGTGTCACCCTTTAAGAGAGATAGTAGCTTTTCTCTATTCCTGTTTCTCTTTTGCTCTTTCTCTTCATGGAAGAGTCAGCTGTTCCTTCCTCTGCATCTGACTCTGTGCTCCTTTTTTCCTTCCTTTTCCCATTATCAGTGTTTGTCCTGCCTTGCTGCCTTCCTGCTCCTCTTGCGTTTTCTGACTGCAGACAAATCAACATGTCCATGGGTACTAGAAGGATAGACATAAATGAAGTATTATCTTGGTGAAGGGGACATTGCTGCCTGCAGTCAGTTCTGTAGGCAAAGAGGTAATCTGCTCCAGGTCATGGCTCTACTGATACATGTTGGAGTTCTGCGTTTGCAGTGTTTCCATCTTCCTTTCCAATTTCTTCCAAAGTCAATAGCTTTCAGCTTATTGAGCAATATGCCGCAAAGATTTCACCAGTCGAACTAGATGCAGAGAACTTTCTAAATATGTTGGTTTTGTGATAGAAGTGTATGTTCAAGGAAAGGCATAAAAAATAATCTTATTGGGATTTCTTTTTGAACTATACTCTAACTTTGTGTGGGAAATCGGCTGTGTTGCCTTGCAACTGCTGTTATTAGTAATACAGGCTTAATTTCACTTGTGATTGGAAACTAAACTGATGAAAGTAATTTCATTCTTATCATCCTGGTAGTGGAAAACATAGTTATGGGACTAAAACTTTAATGATATATTTTGGTTAGTAGTGTGATTTATGATTCAGTTCTAAATTTTATTTTAGTAAACAAATTCAATAGCAAGTATGACATGGAGTGGGTTTAAAAAGATGTTATATTAGGAAATCTTTGATGCAACAGAGATAGGTGGCATTTGTCTATATACAGTTTTGCGTGCTCTGTATTACGTGGAACTTTGAGTGCTGTAAGAGGGAGATTAAAGAAGATGTGAATGTTTTTCAGCTAGCATCTGTCATGTCTCAGTCAAAATTTTGCACTTAACATAAGCAGGTAATAGTGTTCGTTTTCAGGCAGACGTAGTTCATATATCTGATGCAGAGAGCACAATAATATATGCCCGTTGTGATGTTTTGTAGCTAGAAATACAGAAATTATATTTTAGGACGAACAAAATGAAGTGACAGTGATGGACAAGATGACAGAAAGGTGTTGTGTTTCATGTCTACCTAAATGTGTTTACATAGTGGTACCTCTTAAATATGTATGGGCACTTTGGGTAAGTGAATGCCTTTGGGTGTGTGACGCAGCAGCCATAGTGAGTGCCATTTGAAAGCTGGGCAAACCTGCAGAAGGTTGCAGTATCAGGTGAGAGCCTCTAAACCACTTGCTGCTGTAAGAAACATGCATCCAGTTCACTTTAAATTTAATCTGATATAACTTTGCAGCAGCTACGGTTACAGCATTGTAATACTGAAATCTTCACCCCAGTGTCAGTTCTGTTTGGCTGACGAAAGTAATTCTAAAATCAAGCTGCTTATTGTAATTGATAAAGCTTGTTCTCTCGGCTAAAATACCAACTCTAGTTTTTGAACTTTTCAGAGTAGTTCAGAAATAATCGTTTAAAAAATGACAGTGGCAATTGTGTACTTAAAATAGTATTAATGTTGTTATTTTTTCTTTCTATTCCTTTATGTCCTTCGCTAGATGTCACTAGTAGATTTGGGAAAGAAACTTTTAGAAGCTGCACGAGCAGGTCAAGATGACGAAGTTCGCATTTTGATGGCAAATGGAGCACCTTTTACCACAGATTGGGTAATGAAAACTTTTGCAGTGTTAAATCAAGAAAATAGTATTATTACTATTAAGCATTGATATTGCCAGCCTTGGGAGTTTCTCTTGAAATTCTCGAGTCACGTCGTCTAGTGTCCTATTCAAAATAAAAATTGTCTGTTTTCTCATATGACCTCCTGCTGATTTTAGTAGACTGTGAATGAGTTTGTTCTGGTGGCTTTTAAGATGAACTTTGGAATGGTTAATGGGAGAAAGCCGCAATCATCCTCCTAGTTATTGTGTTTATGCATTTAGTGTAGTAAGAGGTCTGAATTAAGAAAGCAGTCCTAACTACCTAATAGGTGCAGCTGAGAGAGAGTCTTTGTTGTCTTTTGAAGGTGTTTTTGAATAGGTTGTATAGGGAGGTCAGCTATGGAAAACTCTAGGGTGTTTACAAGCCCTTAAGAGCCTTAATTGCCTTAGTGACCTAACTTTCAAGTTGATTCTGTTTTGAGCAGATGACTAGACTTAACTTCCAATGTTGGTATGGCGTGTTGACCAACACTCAAAATGGGGTAAGGCTCCTTGAAACATCACACCTCAAAAAGACAGAAAAAGCATAGCACAGACATCAAAAAGTTGCTTCCAGTGAGCTGTTTTTAGTGTGTTGTGATTATTAAAAAAATCTTTAAAAAAACCCTTTTTTTTGTTTCTCTTCATACTCTGTAAAAGCCCCAACAGCTTCTTTCCTTGAGACTACAAGGGAAAATGATTTTGAAGTGGTGGCCTGACACTTGAGTTTCATAGCTGCAGAATGAGAAGAAATACTTCATACTGACATCTGTTAAAACTCCACTTTTTCCATTATGTTACAGTTGGGAACATCTCCACTTCATCTAGCAGCACAGTATGGACACTACTCGACAACAGAAGTGTTGCTGCGAGCAGGTGTAAGTCGGGATGCCAGAACCAAAGTTGACAGAACCCCATTGCATATGGCAGCATCAGAAGGCCATGCCAGCATAGTAGAAGTGTTACTTAAGGTAAAGACTGCTGAAACAAGGTCTGAGGCAGGGATATTACAGTGGTTTATGATCAAATATTTGCAATTTCCTTTTGGTCATGAAACCAACATTGAAATTACATGAATATTAATACTGTGTGCATTGGGTGCTTTGTTTTCCTATTAAACTGTAACTTATTTTAGCATTAAAATCCTCATAATTTCAGGTGAATTATTTATTGCTGTTTCAAAATAAGACTAGTTCCTAATTTGACGTGGTTTGATTAACATCTTTCAGAACCAAGACATGTTATGTTTTAGGGAGTCTTTAATCTTTTGAGGTAAATAATTTATTTGGTAGTTAGATTGGAGAACTTTTAATAAATCTGTAAATATAAGATAACAGGACATTAATGCTAAAGAAAGGCAATTTTGTGTTTCATTCCATGACCAGCATTATTTAATTCAGACTTCTAATGACAGTTTATGCAATGATCTCGTTTGTAGCACGGTGCTGACGTCAATGCGAAGGACATGCTCAAAATGACTGCACTTCACTGGGCTACTGAACATAACCACCAAGAAGTTGTAGAACTCTTAATAAAGTATGGAGCAGATGTTCACGCTCAGAGTAAATTTTGCAAAACAGCATTAGATATTGCAGTAGACAATGGAAATGAAGACCTTGCAGAAATATTACAGGTAACTTTTGGTTCATGATGTTAAGGGAACATACAGCAAAGTACTTGTTTAGACGTGGGATAAACTAAACTTTTAAAATAGCAACTGTGAGACCATGTATTGACTGATGATGCTAAACTCCAGTCTAGTTCATGACATGGAAACGAGATTAATGTTAGCAAACATTAGTTGGCCAAAGAGTCTTTTCACCACCTACAAAGTCAAGGATAAATATCCTTTATTTTCTTAAGTTTGAGTGTTGTAGCACACAGAGCTAGGTGGAGTCTTCACAAGCAGGATGTAAAACTTAGCTCCCTACTCTGCTCGTATGTTTTGACTATACCCTAGTGTTCAATTAGATTCATATATTGATATTAATTTCCTAACAAGAGAGAAGAGAAGAGATGCCAATTTTTCCTGAATTAGAAAAACTAGGATTGAATTGTTGGAGAAGCGATTTGGATCGGGATTATAATAGATACTTCCATGGAAGTGTGTGCTTGCTGTTCAGTAGTGGCCTTAAAGGCAAATTAAGTGCTAAGCATTATTGAGAAAATAATAAATATATTATTTATTACCAAACCAAAATATACCATTATGCCACTGTGTAGATCTGTTGTTCTTTGACAGCTTGAGCTGTATGAACTTCTGGTCTGTTCCTTTAGCCTTGTCTTCATTGCAGAAAGTATATAGTAAATAAAAGTCAGTAATAATTCAAAGACAGACAAAAAGAAGAATGCCATCATTTACTATCATGGCATGTAACTGCCACAGCAGTTTTGGTTCTTCAGGCTTCTGTTTTAGTTACATACATGAGCTTGCACATCTACAAATGGGTGTCGTCTTTGTATGGTCCTCTTTGTTTACAATAAACAGTAAGGAGAAGTAGAGATGTGTCATTATTCTCTTTCAGCAGACTTTCTGTCTTTAGATTTTAGCCAAAAAAACCTGTCGTGTACTTACACAGAGTACAATGTGCGTGTATTGCATGTGTATAACAAGGGAGATCCTCCCTGTTTGAGTGGAATGTGCAATAATTCTAGTTGTTACAAAGTGAATAACTTCTGTATGCCAACAATTGGAATGATGTTACTACCTTTGTCTCCTAGATTGCAATGCAGAACCAAATCAATACGAATCCAGAGAGTCCAGACACTGTGACGATACATGCAGCAACACCGCAGTTCATCATTGGACCTGGAGGGGTGGTGAACCTAACAGGTCTGGTATCTTCTGCAAATACATCAAATGGAACAGGTATTTAGATGCCTATAGGGATAGCTACTGGGATTTTATACTTCAGTTGATTTTCACTGTTTGGTGAAAAGGCTTGAGGAAGAACAGTGGTAAGAATAGAGTAGTTACCATGTTCCTCTTCAGAGTTTTTTACGTGTTTTAAATATCTAGGTACTTAAAACAACAGTCTTCACAGAGAAATTATCAGAAGTTGTATTTGCTTAACAAAGTTGCCTTCAGAATAGCGTTTTACTTTAGCAGAATGTTGCTGAGAACAAAGTGTGTGTTAGAAGCTTCAGTGCAATAATAAAAAAAGAGACTTTGCTGGTTTTAAATTTAACAGCCATCTTTTTTTTTTTTTCATCCTCCTAGATGAAACAGGAGTGTCTGCTGTCCAGTTTGGAAATTCATCAACATCGGTATTAGCCACATTGGCAGCTCTAGCAGAAGCATCGGCTCCGCTGTCTAATTCTTCAGAAACACCAGGTTAGAAAGCTAAGTCATTTAACCTCATTTAATAAACCAAAAGTACATAACCGGCACTTTTGGAGATGCAGTTCATACAGAAATGAGATTACAATCTTCCTTTTTTCAGCGTGAACAGAATTTTTCCTTTACTTTCACCTGGAAGGTTGCCAGATTCATATGCACAATTACTTCTTAAAAAGATTCCTGACTACAACTGGTATTTCTGGGCCTAATGTGAGTGGCATTCATCTTGCTGAAAGCAGGCGTAATTCAGGAGATTGAATTCCCATCTTTGTCTGCATACAGTCTAGTTGCATTTGGTGGGAGAATGTTTTCTTTGAATGCTTCTTTCTGTTAAATATTGGGAAGTGGCCCCCAATGCTGTTTGCATATTCTTTATCAGCAGTTTTCTTGCTCTTTCACCCAAAAGGCACAAGAGTAGTTGGTGATCTTAACATGCAGTTTGCCCGTTAGAGTTTTGATGGGTCTTATTTTCAACATTGAGGCGTTCTACTTGCATTTATAATAACATGTAGTGATTAGTCTGTCCCATTTCAGGCCGTTGTGCTGTCACGGTGCTACAGGTAAACGTAAGCCTAGCAATACATTACTGTTCTCCTAGGAAGAGGCAACCTGCTCCCCTCACTGCAGCCGTATGCACACTCTCTTGTTCCGTAAGGCCATGACAAGAAGCCAGAAAGGCACAAGGAATTCCATTGCCCCTAGTTCCCAAGTTTTGTGTTCCTCTTTCTTAATACAAAAAACCTTCACCTCTGTCCCATGGAACTTCGCCAGTTACTGCTTTGTCTGAAAAAATCTTTGGTCAAGGTTCCACATTCTGCAACGGATATCTTTCTCCATTCTTTCTGAATAATGTGGTGCTTGCTTTGTGTACTTTTTCACTTTTGTTCATTACAACACGCAAAGTGATGAAAGAAATAGCAGTCAGGAGTCTTACAGCATCAAAGTGGATTATAAAGACTAGTCATTACCACTAATGGGTTTGAGAGAGAGATAAGCAAGGAAAAGACCGCCTTTTATAATTTAAGCAAGTTGTGATACCATCTACAATAAGGCTAAAATGTGATCAAAAGCTTCTGAGTTATTGCAAGTTATTTTATAAGAGAATGCCACTAAACTTTTGTTCCAGACCATGTTTTCCAATTGTGTGTGTTAATATCTTGCCATTGCATTAAAAAAATCAGGTAAAACTAGTATTAGGAGATCAAGTGCTATGTTAATTCTTTGTTAGCTAGCTTTGGGACACAGAAATCCCTAGTTCTTGTCTCTGAACTAGGCTATATGGTGCACTTGAATAAAAACTTCTGTTATTCTGAGAATCTTAAAAGGTGGTTTAGTGGAGACATGGCTTTCTAAACAGAGCTGTGAAGTATTTCATGCATGCCTTGCTTGCCTAGTGCTGTTTTGCATACATTGCTCCCCAGTTTTCTCAGGCGGTAGGAAATGTCTGTAGCTACTAGAGTGTTATGGTAGGCAAAATTGCCTTTTTATTTAGTATTTACAGTGTTTATTATACTGACATGTAGCACTCTAACGTGGTTTCCAAGTTAGCTAGGGATTTTGAGCACTGGTTAGTCATTTGAGATGTAGCAAGATGAGCCTAATTTTAAAACCAGTGACTGGAGATCAAAATGGAGAGCAACAACCCTCTGTCGACCAACGACTTATGATGCTTATGGTAACCTGAGTTTTTCTGAATACATTTCTAAAGATAAGCATTTAGTTTACGTTTTTGTTGATGATCAATATGATAAGTTTTACAGAACTAGGATACTTCACATGGCCAAAGTCTTTGGTACTTAAAAGTTCTCACATAATTCAGCTCTGCAGATGACGTAATTTTTTAAGGACGCAGTTTTCACTGAAAACATGGAAGAGATCTGTACTCTGACTTGTTGGCATGACAGCTACATCCCAACATATACCTGAGTTTTCAGTATTTTGAAGTCCTGCAAGCCACCTTCTTAGTACAGCTCTTTTCTTCTACTACTTCTCTAAGTGATACCTAAGTACAACTATACTGTTATCTGACATTTAAATATTGCAAGTGAAGTGAATGATTCAAAACCAGAATGCAGTGCCTTTCATTACAGAAGAAGCTGCTGATGTTTTCAATCAATTAATGTATTTCAGTGAAACTCAGATCTAGTTGTGGGAGAGAGAAACTTGAAAAAGGATTTTATGGGATTACAGAGCAGTAGATGTGTATTCAGGACTTGGTAGTAGACTTTGGTCACAACTAGGTGTTCTTGTGTTTGAGGGCCTTGCCCTTGCAGTGGTGCAGTGTAACCTATGTTACATGTCAGTAAACCTCTGAAGATAAAAATTGTTAGGGAGGAGGCAGGAGATGACAGGCAGGAAGGGATAGGTTTGAAGTCTTGATGCAGTAGCTTCCCACCTTCAGTAATGCAGTGTGCATCATTCCTGACCTCCCTGATTATTTCAGTTCTTCTGCTTTGATTTTTAAGCAGATGTGTGGGCAGTCTTGCAGCATCTTACTGTCTGCAAATTATTTCCTGGGTTCTTACTCCTTTAATAGTTTATGAAGTGTAAAGGATACAAAAGCAGCTTTTTGTCATCTGCACGTTAGTAGTAAGTGTGTTCAAAGGGGAAAAAAAACCCCAACAAACAAGTAACAAAAAAAACTTTATGCTGATCTTATAAAAGATCCGTTTATAAATACGCTCAAAAATTTGAGGGATTGAGAATTCTGGTTTTGGCTCTTTACCTTTTATTTAGCCTCCTGTATTTAAGACTGTATTTATAAACTTGGACAAAGCGCTTTTGCCTTTTATGTTTTTTCTGTCTAGGTTTTTCTCCTCTTTCCAAGTTAGCTTTACCCTGGTCTCTTCCCCCTAGTTCCTCATGTCTTACAGTTAAAAACACAGCAGTTTTTTAAAACCAAAGAAAGGAAGGTACTTCTCACTGGAGCTGAATAGAATTATGATTTTTTTTTTTTTGATTGTTACTCAAATGAAGCGTATACGAGGACATGGATGTTACGTAGAAATGTGGTGCATGATGAACGTATGGAACTTGGACCTGGATCAGAGAAAAATCTGATTCAAGATGCGTATTTTAAATGCAATATTTGGTGTGCTTGTGTTGGAATTAGGTGTATGTCTTACTGCACGTGCAGGTTCTTTCCCTGCACACACTGCAGAAGAAAGTAATGCACATTAATACAGAGATTACTGAAAGCAATAGTGCCGCTGTTTTAAATCACTGCCCCTGTCCTTTGGCGTGTGAAGTAGTGTGGTAACTAATGATTATATGGATATAGATATGGAAGGAGAGCAAGAAAGAAATAAGGACTGTATTTATGGGGATATTTTTCTTTATATAAGAAGAACTTATTTTTAGACAAAATCTCTGTTTTTTTCTTTCAAGGTCTGCAGAAGTCCTAAAAATGTTTCTTTCCAGAACTAAGAGCCCAACATTGAGTTTGAAAGTGAAAGATCAGAGCTGTTGCCACAGCAGCTAGTATTGGCACTTAGGACTTGGAATTTTTTTGTGACAGTGGTCTTTCTTAACCGCTGAGCCTGTGCTTGGAAGCCAAATCAAGTTCAATACAACACCGCTTATTCATGTAGGACTTACTGTTTTGGTTTACTGAATAAACACTGAATATTTAAGCAGTGCTATAGGACAGCAGTCTCTGAACATAAAGATCTTCAGAAGGCAGTGACTGCAGTCATTATTTGAACTAGAGAGTGATTTTTGTATGTGTGTTATACTGTAATTAACTTAAAAGATGAAAGCTTCAGGGTTTTATCTACCTTCTCATCTTGAGCATCACAACACAGTCTATAGGGTTTAAATTCCTTCTCTGTAGATAGAAAGCACTCTAATGTCTGTTATTTAAATCAAAGGCTTTGCTTTTACCCTGACAAATTGAAAAGAAAATACTGAGTGAGTGTGCTTGAAATTCTTTGATTATGCTACTAGTGATCTTGCTCTTTGTCTCAGTATCTTGTTTTTAAAAAATAGGGGTGGTGATGCGAGACCTCAGTTACAGCGTGTAGTGCAAGCTGTGGTATGGATTGTAGTTCTGAATGCAGTCTTTTCCTTATTTTCCCTTGATTTGTGAATGTAATACAGAACTGTGGGAGTTCACAGCTGTATACTCATTATCAAATCATGAATTTGAAATATTTAGTCGAGCTGGGATTTTTTATTTTTACTTTTACCTATAAAATTATACAATGTTTATTTTACTTGTTTATCTTTCTCCTTCGAAGTTGTAAAAATGTCAGCTCTGCCGGACTTTTCCTTTAGTCCTGTTTCATACTTTGTATAATAAATAAAGTTGTGGTTGTATTTGAAGTGCCCATGTAGTACAGAGAAAACTTTTAAGATTCTCTAGAGGTGCTTCAATCTGTTACTGTCCTGAAGACCGTTATGGTAAGCAGAGAAATCAGGGCTTGGTCCTGAGGTACACCTAGCAAGGTACAGGATGAGGAGTAGTTTCAAGGTAGTATTTCAAGTTTGTTTTTTTTTTTTTTAATTTATTCTGCTGTTAGTGTAACTTAGTCCAGCTTGTGTACAATGGAAAAGTTATTTGTGTTCTTAAAAACAACACTTGTTCTTGCTGCCATGTTTACACTCAACCCAAAGTGTCAGTTTTGAGTGAGATGTATCTATTAGGAAACATGCTAAATAAAAAAATTATTACATTGAGGAAGATAGACCAGAACGGACTTGCATGTATATTAGAAAATGTTAGTGCTTTGTGTTGGCCTGGTGAAAGATTTCTGTGAACAATGTAATACGTAGTAATGCATGAATTGTGGGGTTGGGGGGGAATCAGATTTTAAAAGACATTGAAAAAATTCTGTCTCAGCTATACCAAAATGTGTTTGAAATCATAAAGATTAACTTATAAATTGACTTAATTCCTTTACTAATCTGTTGATAGTTGTGGCCACAGAAGAGGTCGTGACTGCAGAATCTGTGGATGGTGCTATTCAGCAAGTTGTCAGTTCTGGAGGTCAACAAGTTATTACTATAGTTACTGATGGCATTCAGCTTGGTAATCTGCATTCAATTCCAACCAGTGGAATAGGGCAGCCAATCATTGTGACCATGCCAGATGGACAGCAAGGTGAGTGGAAACTTGTGTGGTTTGAGCTTGAGGCGCTATTTTAGTTACAGTAATAATAATAAATTGTTAGATGCAAATAGCTTGGACAGGTTTGTGTAATGCTGAATCTCTGCATTAGGAGAAAGAATAGAATTACTAAACTGTATGGAAGAGAAATGGGACATTTAAGGGAAAAGTGATAGCTACTAGCTTTCCCTTCAGTAAGCTTAATTCTTGCAAACTTGTTATGAAAACTAGAAGATGGAGTAAAGCAAAAGCCTTCTTCCAATACTTATGCTATTGTCTTTCTCGAAATATTGTGGGGACGTGAAGCTCGGATTTTGAAATCTGATGCATGAAGCAAGCTGTGCAAGTCCCACGGAGCGTGTTCTTAACAGAGCAAAAGCCAAGTCTTGCATGCTTGAGGTTTTAGAGGAGCAGCGGCAGAACCAGTGAAGCTAGGGTGACACAGATTGTCCTTTTGAGCCATGTGTACTTTGTTTGTGGAAGCTGCTAGTGTATCAAGTGCTAGTTTGTGACTTACCTGTGTTTTGGGTGGTTTCTTTTAAAGACACTCTGCTATTACTGTTTAGACAAAAATGATTCCTTCGCTGGTTTCTTCAAAACAACTCCCAGCATGGAGCTTGAAGAGTTGTACACTGGAGACAAATTATTTGGTTTACAGTGTGTCTGAACAAGTACAGCTAGTTATCAGAAAGCGTGAATGTGTGTAGGTAGTAATTGAAGGGACAGTTACAACATTTACTTGCCAGATGGCTGCATGAGTAAGTTAGAGTATAGATGTCTTTAGATCCCTGATTTTTCTCCTTTAAAGTCAACAACTACTGGATTTTCAGATTACCTGAGGTGTTCTAATTAATCAAAATCAAAAGCTGGTTTTGTAATTTAGTATTTGCTTAAGAAACCTTGTAAAGGAGATGGTCTGCTACATGAGTTACAGAATTTACAGACTGGTAGCTGCTGCAATTCACTTCCATGTCTGTTTACTCTGAAAAACGGCAATGATTCTCCAGAGTGACAGCAGCTATTGTAGACCTCAGCAACAAAAAAATTTAGAATTCTATAGTAGCATACAAGCAGCTAAAGTTTTTAGTAAATTTTCCCTGTGCTGAGTTTATAATGTGGTTTATTATCTAGTTGTGTTTTCGTAAGGGAAAGTCTTAGCATTTTATTGCTGTTAATAAAATTACTTGATTATATGAATTTTATATAGTGCAAATATTGTTTGAAGTAAATGTATTTTTTATGTACAAATGTTTTCAGTATTAACAGTTCCAGCAACAGACATTGCTGAAGAAACTGTGATAAGTGAAGAACCGCCAGTGAAGAGACAGTGCATTGAGATTGTTGAAAATCGTGTGGAGTCTGCAGAAATAGAAGTAAGGAGTATATTACATGATATGTGTTAAACAGAATGTTCAGCACTGAGTGTTTGGTTGTGGTTTTTTGTGTTGTTCTAGAGTTTAATTTCTGTGTTACCACAGAATGAGGTGTGTGAAACAATAACTTGTTCAGTCTCCCCTGTTACTGGAGTGCATCTTTTACAAAGTTGTTGTGAAAATAACATAGGAGGGCTGTTTGCTTCATTCTCTGGTTGTGCACGTAAAGGTGACACTTGTTAAGTATATGATAACTTAAATTTTTTTATTTTTTCCTTTAAGGTCACTAGCCAGTTTCTAGAACTAGGTACTGATATACTATGGAATATCTTGACTCTTTCCGCTAGCAGTGAATGAGAGTACTGTACCCTCATCTTTCTGTTATGACCACATGCTTGTCCTGATTGTGAGATCATATTTTTAGCAATGTTTCCTTTCCATTCATGATATCTAGATAATGTTAATGGAAATGTGAAACAGTAAGATTCTGTGTTTGTCAACTTTTATCTGTCCCTTTTTTTAAAAAAAAAAATAAAAAATCTGGAGCAGTTCACTATTACACATCTTCACACCATACTGTTTTTTTAAAATCATAGTGCAGAAGACCTAAAAACATTGAGAGAGCTTTTCTTTTTATATATAACCAATAAACATAGCTGTTCGATTTAAAATTGTAGCTGTTTTATATTAACCACAATAGGTCAACCATCTCACTCCTTCTGTTACTTCTAACTGTGCTGACCAGTTTTGACCAAAAGTTTATGAAAATTGGTGTCTGCCTTGACTAGGCTGTACGTGCTTTTTTTGTCAACTCCATGATATTCATTTATTGAAGGTTGTATTCTCCAGCTCCTGTGCATATTATTGAATTGTGCCTAATTGAATACTTTTTATTGTACAGTATGTGCTATATGTTATCCATGTCTAATAAGAATAATTACCACCTTTCATCACTTGCTTTCCCTGTCCCTAAGTTGTCACATCAAATACCTCTGGCTTTTGCAGCTTTGTCGTCATTACAGATTATCATGACAGTTGAAATTTTCTTGCTGCATTTTTTTAAGTGTATGACTGTTACAATAAAAGCATTTCTTTTGTTCACACTTTTAAACATCTGCCTGAATTATTCCTAAAGGAAATTACATTTCCTTAAGTATTTTAATAATTCTATTAGGTGAAGGGAAAAAAAAAATCTAAATTGGTTAAGGAATAAATTGACCTGTTCCTAATTACAGATAGTTGGTGTAACAGTACAAATAATTCTTTTAAGGGGATTATCAGTTCCACTTGTATATTTTAAGCACACTTCTCCAGTATCGAAAGAGGTTGGTTTAAATGAGTTATTTTGTTTTACTTTTAATTGCAAGTTTTGATGACTGGCTTTGTCCAGCCCTGTGTGGAGGCCAGCTGACCTCAGGAGCCGTGTTGTGGCTCACAGGGGTATGGTGCTGCCTCACGTTGGTAACAGGGGCATTACAGGAGTACGCATAAAGTCAGTTCACTTCAAACTTCATCATCACAGAAGTTGGTAGAGGAAGTGAGACTTCTGCCCTCATTAAAATATTTTTTTAATGTAGAAAACCTTTATTGTTTGGTTTCTTTGCCTCACTTTGGTTCATTCCTTTATTTCGTTATGAAGAGTTGATTCAAGGCTAAGAGTGCTTTCTTCAGCTGTTTTAAATTCATAGCGTATGAACAGTTAACCATAGTTCGAAAGTCTTTAAGTTGAACATCTTCCCATTCATGTGAGGTGACAAGCTTTCCTGTGAAAGTATGAACGACTAAAGCTGTAGTCGTGTTTTTTGATTTTTCAGATCTCTTAAGTTCAAATGTTTCAGTTCATTTTGAAGAGTGATAGCAGTTTTCCTAAACAGTTTGATATTTTAAACGTAGAATGGCAGCAAAAAAAACCCTGTCACACAGATACTCTGTTTTTCATTTTCATGCATAATTCATTAACATACAGTGATTTTTATGTTCATTCTTGAATTTGACTTTTTCCCATGTTGTATACTTGAAAGGTGGCACGCATTAGAACCAGGACAATAATTTCATTAGACTAAAAGAAAAATCATAATTGTAAATTAGTTGTATTAGTGAATTCGTATCCCTGTTTCTTCTGTTGTTAAAAAGAATGCTTGGTTTGGTTATTTTAGTTATGGAGTGTCCCTGTTGTCAATATATAGACTGTTAAGAAAAGTTACATGTAATGAAGAAAATTATCTCATAAAATGGAAGATTTCTTAAGAGCTCTCAGGATCCTCTAATGTGATTTTTACCTGGGTAGGTTTTTACACTGATACAAAAGGACTCCAGGTAATTAGAACACTTCAGTTGTGTTCTAAAGAATGCCCTAAGAGTACTGTCTGGATTTGATTAGATTAATAGACCAGGTATAGTCCTGCCTATTCGGGATGTCGAAGTTAAGGAACCAGCTTTCAATGTTCAATCCACTGTGGGTCTGCATTACTCCTCCAGAAGCATTGCTTTCCTTCCGCTGCCTAGTTAGACAGTATGCTTGGCCTCAGTTCCTGAACTCGTTCTGATTACGTGAGGACTACGACTGTCTAAAAACTACACCTGTTACTGGCTGGACTAATCTACGTGCTTTTGAATTGCTAGTCTGTCTGGTAGATGCTGGTTTTATCTTCTTGTCTCTGCCACTGAGACTTATCCTTTTTTTCTATCCCTTCCTTCATGTGCTGTACTCCTGTGGGCACGTGGCTCTGTTCTCTCTTGTGTGAGGAATGCTCCTAAGATGTAGTCTGAGAACCTCTCCACCCCTAAGCCTTTGCAGGCTGCACGCGCTCTGTAGTAGCGATAGCACCTTGCCTTTTGTAACGTACCGCAGAACCACTGGCCAGTGAGCTGCTGGTGGTTCTTATTCTTCTGCAGCCCAGTGGATAGAGGAGCTTTGCTTCTTGTCAGTAGTAGATTTTTGACTTTTTTATGTGACAAATTCATGAGATAGATAATGGCCAGCTCTGTATGTCTCAGGGCTGAGTGTCCTCAAGAGGGAAGGGTTGCTTTCCACATGCAGCAGGATCAACTGTTTTGACTGCTTCCCTGAGAATTGTCTTGTAGCTCTTTTCACCAACTTTCTGCTCCATGAGCCTGTTTTACATGAGCTGTCGGCACCCATTAAACTACACAGATAACTTACAGAAAGAGCAGTATGTTTTGGTTGGACTGGTGCTGGAACGTCATTGGTGTGTTTCAGATCCTTTGAGCTGTAGGCTCTACCGCTCATTTGGCGTTCGTCAGTCTGTTTGCCACGTGGGTTGGCCATTCATCAAGTTGCTTAAAAAGCAAAATCTTAACTTTTCAGAGGTGGAAGCTGAACTTCCTTCTTGAATAAGTAAGCAAGATCAGATGAGCTCTTGTTTTATCAGCATGTGCTCCAAATTCAGCAAACTCTAGCTAGCTTCCTTCAGCTCTTAAAGCCCTATGTAAAATCAGGTTGCACTTAATGGAGTTTGTTCTGTTCTGTGTTACAGCTGATCTTTGTAACCTGTTAATAACGTATCTCCTTCACCTGTTGTTTTTGCCATACAGATGCTGCTATTAGCAATGATCTGATCACCTATGTCATTATATTCCAGCACATTCAGCACAGCGTGTGACTGCTAAATGTGACTGTGACAAGTATGAGAACAGTAGCAGGTAGAAGGGAGGCAGAGTATTTCGTATTTTCAGGCTCTGACCATGAAAATATGTGAGTGCATCAAAGAGGTGAAGAATAGGGATGCTGTTACGGGAATGTGGTGGGAGCAGCTTCTAGCAACTGAGATATTAAATGGGAATGTGATACTTAACTGCTGGGATGGGAATAAGGTGAAAAGGCAATTTGTTTTCATTGGGCCTTGTTTTTTTATAAGAGTTCTGTTTTTCTGGGAAGTACCTTGCTTCTCTGACAGCCTCCATCCTGTGGCTACTTAACAACTACAGTGGAAAGTGATTTGAAATCAAATACTACCTTGCTTATAAATGTATGATGCACTTTAATGAAATGGTGTTTGGTTGAAGATCAAAACAAAACTATTTTCCAAGCAAATTGCTTTTTCAATTTGGCTCAGTGCAACATCAAACAAAACGACAGTACCTATGTCACTGGAGATGGAAATACATTCTCCTTAATTCCTAAGGCAACTTCATAGGAAGTGGCATTTCCTGTAGAATTTTGTTTGGAAACCATTTTATAGTCATCCCTGACAAACTTGTATGTAGGATGAAGCTTTAGGTTACTCCTTTTGAACTGAAAAAACTTACTGAGCTAAATGCCTGTTAATTCATAAAAACATGGTGTCCTTGGGATGTAATTATACCTCTGGATTGCACAGTAACAATCACTTTAGATTGCTTCATTTAAAACCCAGATATGTATATACTTCAGTTAGTGAGCAGCTGTCACTTTCCATTGCAAACTGGTGATTAGAAATACAACAGAAAGGGACAATCCTGTTAGGTTGGATTCCAATTTTATAAAGTAACAAAGGGAATTAAATCATTGGACAAACGTTACTGTATGATGTTAGTATTTGATCACCATGCTTCCACTTTTTTATTTCACTCTTCTTCCATGAAGACTTGCTTGGTATCTTTGCAGCTATAGAAACTTGGGTTTGCTATTTTTACACTTTAAGCCTTATCGTGAGGGGTTGTCTGGAGTAGGGGTTCATGTCTAACTCACACAGCAGCATTCATGTAGGTTTGCCTGAGTAAGAACTGAACAGTTTCTACATGATACCCTAACGCTTGAGCTGCGTGTAAAGGAAAAGTATTTGCCATTTTAACTTGTATTTGATAACGTATTTGACAAAATATTGCTGGTTCTGTTTCTAATAGGAAAGAGAAACTCTTCAGAAACAGCTGGATGAGGCAAACAGAGAAGCACAAAAATACCGTCAGCAGCTTCTAAAGAAAGAACAAGAAGCAGAGGCCTATCGGCAGAAGTTAGAGGCGATGAACCGCCTCCAGACTAATAAAGAAGCTGTTTAATAAAAAACGAACATACTGCAAAGCCTGTTACTTTCCAACACCTGCAGTGCAATCTTGAACTGTACGCTGTATAGGTACAGACACAGGATTACATGATAGAGAAGATGCTACAAGTTGATAACTGGACTTAAGCCGTGAGCTCTGGTGAATTTCTTGTAACATAAAAACTCTGAATTTAGAAATTGTGAAAAGTATTTAAAATGAAATACTGTAAATAGTTGTTTTTTTTACAGTTTCAAAATGAGTTGATAAATCTTTTTGAAGGGATCCAGAAACACGAGAAGCCAATGTTTTTGTGAAATTTTTGATTTTAGTATGAATCTAACTTCTGAAAAACAGAACAGTTTTAAGGGTGATGTTGTTGATTTAATCTGACAATTTGAAAATGAATTATGCGACAAAATTAATTAACAGTTATTTCTACACGGTAACAACTTAAACTTCTCCGAATAAGACATTTCCTGGTGGAAATCTTTGTACAGCTTTCACTAGTTGTCTCAGATTCTCTGAAAAACATTTTTTTTTTTTTTTTTATTTTAGGCAGTGAAATTTTTATATTTAATTTCAGATATATCCAAGTAGATTTACATGTATATGAAGCTAATATTTTTTAAACTTTTCAGTTTGTACATATGCTGCATGTTTTTATAATTTCTACACATACATCTTGCATAGGTATTTTTCAGCAAAGACGAGAAAAATTATGAAAAAAAAGTTTAGCCTATAAGGTCATTTGAAGTAAGCTAGCTGCCAGTTTTATTGTGGATGGTATATTTCTTGGAAAAATGTAATTTGTAATTAAAAAGGACAAAAAAAAATTTACATATTAGAGGCAATTTAAAATTTGGTAGTGGAGGCATTGAAACTTCACTTTGTGTGTCTGTACAAACATTTTAAGGTTCAGTAACGAATAGAAAGGAATGTCTCCACTGGAACACAAATAGTAGTTCTTTTAGAATATTCCTATTGATCTCTTTTCCCCAATAGCCTTGAAATTACTTCAGTGATACATTTTTTCTAAACAGACTTTTGCATTTTAATTATGCGATTGGACAAGTAATTTTTTTATGTTGTAGTGATGCTGCTCTTACCTGGCATCATTGTTCTTCACTGTGATACTGTGTTTGTGTGTGTCTGTGCAGTGATCTATTATGCTTAGGATTTATATAGCACGTTACATCTTCAGAGCATTGTAAAATCTTTTAAAGAACCCTTACTGTACTGCCTGAGGCAGGTGAGTGAGTGTTATTGTCTCAATTTTATAACTGGTATGAGCACAACACAGGGAGTGTTAAATGACTGGCCCAAGACCACGTGAACCTGTGGTAGACCTGGGAATAGATCTCAGGAGTTCCTGGCTTCTAGTCCTGTGCTTAGACTGAGCTGCCTTAAGATTGTTCAGTGCTGTGTTACATTAAGTTTTGAACTACTGTGCAGATTACTTTTTTGTAAGATAAAACTCTGTGCTTTGCTTTGTTGTTCCATGTTTCACTGCTTTTATGGAATTGTTTATATAAACTTAAGCAAAAAGTCTAGTTTACCTATACTGTACACAGAAGAATTACCCTTAAAACTGTACTCTGGCCTACTTTTTCTATTTTACAATTAAATATCTTTTCCACATATGTATAGTGTATAATCAATTCCATTTCAGTTGTTTCATATGTGTATTAGAAGGGCAATTTATATAAATTGCTGTGTTAAGCATTCAGAAAAATATGAAAAAGCAGTTTTGGGCTTAGAATGGCCTTCAAAAATAGGAGGGAGGAGTGGGGAAAGAATTGCATTATACAATACAAAGTAAAGTCTTCCTTCTTCAAACTTTGACTTGAGTTTATAGAGTTGGCACTTAGGAAAAAATCCTGAATATCCTAATATTGGTACAAATTTGACAGATTTGATCCCAGTTGGTAAATTTGACCCCAAAATAATCAAAATGTAATTAAAAAGGGACAATCTGTGATGGTGAATTTTAGAATAATTATTTTCAAAGATATAATCATACTTAGCTGGTACTAGGACTTGAAGCAAGCCTTGTGCAGTGACTAACTGGAAATTACTATATATTAAGGTTGTGGTTTTTTTTTTTCGGAAAGTATCCATTATGTCACTAGCAAATGCGGGAACCAGTTAGTCAAGTTAAATGTGCTGGTTAGGCATTGCTCCAACTGAATTGTTCTGTGATCAAAATAATGTTTGTGTCCTCACGTCCCACAAACTTAACTACAGTTTAATCTCTGTGAACTCTTAATAACGATAAGAATTTCAGCGTTAGTCTGAGCAGTGATAGTGGTAATGCTCGTGTCCAAATGGAGAATTTCCCACGGGTTTGACGGCACAGACCTTTGTAGCAAACAATGAAAAGAACCTTTTCTATTCATTCTGCTTCCTGTGAGCAAATACTCTATTCCTCATTGTAACGAAATCCTTCCAAGTGCAGGGTAGCTATAGCAAAAATGTATTTATCGCTAGCAGTGTTTACCCTACCCGTGATTCATTATCACCTGTCTTATTCCAGTTCCGAACAGGACCTGCTGTTTGTTCTTTTCTGCACAGAATGAGAAACCAAACTGATGAAACTATCAGCTTTGAGCAAAAGCGTAGGGTATATGTCACATGGAATATTTATTGTGTAGTTTAGCTCCGAAAACATTATTACAAGTATTGCTCCTTATTTGCTGTTCCAAATTGAAATCATAACTGTAATTAGCTACCAGCTTTTGTTGAACACACGTCCATATGTTGAAGTAATGTTTTAGGTACGTGTAATGAGCTAGAATCACAGTTTTTGAGAACTCTTGTTCTTTTTGAGTTGGTCCTGTTCTTCATGCCAGTCCCTTCTCCCCTTCTTTGCTCCCCTTTATGGTAGCATTTACAGTAAAGCCAAGAAAAGATCAGTGATGATATGTGTGGGCAGCTTGTTATTTTTTTTTCCTAATGTTTCCAGAGAAATGTGAGATAAGAGATGAACGTGCCTGTAGTATGGGTTTTTCTGCACTTCTTGCACCACTTCTTTGAATGTCTTTTTTGAATTTTTTTTATTTCTGTATATTAATCTCATGCGTGTGTATCAGCATCTTTGTCATATCTATGAAACGGTTCTTTCTCAAATATCTAATCGCAGCAGAAACTGGGAAAGGTTTTCACACTGTTCTGTAGAAAGTACGCTGTGGAGAAAGACGTTAACAGCTTTCTAGAATAATGAAAGCATGAAGGCTGTGTTACAGTACGTGGGGCAGAAAATGGAAGCTGCTCTGACAGCCACTTCTGTTCGGTGCGATGAGAACAGAGAAACTGCTGGGGTGTGTCAGACGAAGGGTCTGCCAGGCTTGGTATTGTGCTGCCAACAGGGCCAGCCCTAAGCAGGAGCCTAGGGTAGAGCAAAATCAGGGCAAACATATATTGCACTATGTGATAGTTTCTGGTGCTCAGTCTGTAAGTCCTACCTCTTCTCTTTTCCCAGGGCTACCTGGTGTCAGTGTAGAGCAAGTGAGCTCCTTCTGGTGAAGATGAGCTCTCAGCATTGAGTATGGTGTCAAAGGTCGTGCTGCCAAAGACAGGTTGGGATGTGTTTTCATGTCCTAAAACTGGAACAAGGGGGAATGTGCATGGCTTTTCTTCCAAACTGAGAACAATCCAGGTGAAGGATTTGGAGGAATTCTGGAGATAAAAGGCCAAATCTCAGTGCTTATGTGAGAAAAGCAAGCACAGCGGTGGGGGAAAAAGATGCGTTTTCCCAGGCCGGCAATCTGGGGTGATACCAGTGGAGGAACATCACCCTGCAGTGTAACCTGGCCTGATCTAGAAGGGCAGGAAATCCACAAAGAGGATCACTGCTGCTTTGTGTTGTGGTTCTGGAACTGGCAATGATTGTAAGGCCTTTCCTTCTGGTAACAGTGGACTGACAGCATTGGGCCTGGAGGCTTGTAGGGATGCAGGTATAGGGTCTTGGGAAACTCTGCCCTAAAATTCTTTTAAAAAAAGCCAAACAAACAAACCACAAAACCAGCAAAACAAAACAAAACAAAAACCCCAAAGTTGCCACTTGCAGGGTCAAATTTATTAAGTGCTGGTGCCTTGTTTTAATGACTACTGCTAGTGCAGTAGTTTGGTGTGCTAGGATAACATGGCTGCTTTTATTTGGTTTTGGAAGCTCTTGAGCTTTTTCTCTCTTGCAAGTCTTGTGTTAATGTGTCTTATGTTCATGACGTGGATTACTGTGAGATTTCTGAGAGATTGTTTGAAAATGAGAAAGGTTTAGCGCAGAGGCAGCTTCTCTTAGAGACAGACTATCTTACACATCAAAAGAGCAGGGATGAGAACGTACGAGAGACTGCGAAAGCCCTCAGTAGGGAGGAGTTAGATAGATGAACACTCACCAATAACCTGCCTACGTTAAACCTTTTCCAGAATGCGTGAGTCTGAGATAAAGGGAGCTATAAAGGGTGAAGCAGCTAGCAAGGCACCAGACCAAACTGCCCACAGCTTCTGGAAGGTCGTGGCCAAGGTTTGAAGAGGCGCTTTTAGAAGGAATCAGTATGGAGCCTGAGGAGTACAGGCGGAGAGGTGAGTGATCCTCTGCTTTTGGAAACAGGTAGCATTTGTTCATGGAGATAACTGTTGTAGGGCTGGGACTGGTACTCAAAATTAGGATGGTCTATATACTCCTTGTTTGCACACATATCCTTGAGACTTGGATCTGCTGAGGCTGAGACAAAAACGTGTTTCAGGGTTGAGTTTAAATTAGTGGGTTTAGAGTCAGTGGATGGTTTAGGATTTTTGGTCTTACATTTAAAATACCGTGGGAAAGCTGCAGAACTGTGATTCTGAATTAACTTGTGCGCAGTGGCTCTTCCCTGGCTGACACTGTGCAACTGCAGTGTTACTGGCATAATTCTGGAGGTGTAGAGCAAACTTTGGTCCCAGGGCTGGAGGAGGTTGTCTACAAAGTAGAGAAAAGGTGTGGAGGAACTGTGCGGCTGTTTTCAGAGGATGCAAAAAGGGTTCCGCTATAATGACAGGGAAGCATGGGGCGTTACGAAAATCTAGTTTCTGCGAAACAGTTTCAGTTAATTTGTAGGCAAGAAAATCTGTCTGTCTTCTCAGTAACCAATCAAGCTGTGCTTGTACCGTGATTGTATTTTAAAAGTACATTTGAACTATTCAATGACAACACTGAAATAACCCTGTGAAATCTGTTCTGTCCCCCCGAAGCCTGTTCTAGAAGCCATGTCCCCACATTATTAGATGAGACAAGCAGGGCCTAGGAGGAGGTTTAGTTCTTGTGACTATCCTGGGAACAGTGTTCCAAGCCCTGACCAATCCTACTGACAGATTGCGTGAAGTGTTAGTACTACTAGTTAGTTTTCCTGCA